CGACTCACATGCATGGCTTGGCAAGACTCACATGCATGCCATGGCACGACTCACATGCATGGCATGGCATGACGCACATGCATGGCATGGCATGACTCACATGCATGGCATGGCACGACTCACAAGGGCAGCGGATCCCGGCTTCATGGTTGGCTCGGGGATGTCCCTCACGAACCTGGGGGGAGAGGAGGGGGGTCAGGGGTTGGGATGAGAGATATGAGGCACAGAGTGCGAGAGGTGAAGGGGTCCGCTGATGCGCGCTGCACTGGTCCTTGCTGAGATGGGGTTGCGACGGCATGGGGGGCGCATTTGCAATGAGCAAGCACGGGGCACGCGCGTGTGCGGTGGTGCTGTGCATGCCATGTTGGCGTGGCGTGGCCATTGGTGCATGTGAGGGAGGACAAGACAGAGTGCAGCTCACGTGATGAGCAGAGCGCCGTCTTCCCGCTGGCAGCGGATGAAGGAGCAGCCGCGGCTCAAGGGTAGAGGCCGGCCGTCCAGCTCTGGGCGAGGGGATAAGAGGCGGGGGGATAAGTTGCGGGGGGATAAGAGGCGGGGGATAAGAGGCGAGGGGATAAGAGGCGGGGGGAGGGCACCAAGGGGAGGAGGATGAGCGGCGTGAGAGGAGAGGAGGACGCACGCAGCCGGGACACGCAACACTGGCGCTTGGGTCTGTGGACATAGAGCATTCTCAGCGGCAGCAGCGCAGCACAGCGACGGGAAGGTGGGGTGTGAGATGACATGAAAATGTGTCACAGACGAGCATGGCATGGCACGGCATGGCATGGCATGGCACGGCATGGCATGGCATGGCATGGCATGGCATGGCATGGCATGGCATGGGATGGCATGTCATGGCATGGCATGGGATGGCATGTCATGGCATGGCATGGCATGGCATGGCATGGCATGTCATGGCATGGGATGAGAGTGTGTGGGGTATTAGAAGCAGGGGGGGGAGGGGGTGTGGCTTGCCTGCATGCCACATGACCCCGCATGCATGCTCGTCCCCCTTGGAGACGTCATCGATCACAAACGCCACTCCGGGCGGCATGGCCTGCAGCACTCGCGACAGGTGCTGCGCGATGGCCTGGAAGGGAGGGTGGGGAAGGGAGGGTGGGGAAGGGAGGGTGGGGAAGGGAGGGTCGGGAAGGGAGGGTGGGGAAGGGAGGGTGGGGAAGGGAGGGTGGGGAAGGGAGGCTGGGGAAGGGAGGCTGGGGAAGGGAGGCTGGGGGAAGGGAGGGTGGGGAAGGGAGGGTGGGGAAGGGAGGGTGGGGAAGGGAGGGGAGGGGAAGGGAGGGTGAGGTGAGGAAGGGAGGGTGGGGAAGGGAGGGTGGGGAAGGGAGGGTGGGGAAGGGAGGGTGGGGAAGGGAGGGTGGGGAAGGGAGGGTGGGGAAGGGAGGGTGGGGAAGGGAGGGTGGGGAAGGGAGGCTGGGGAAGCGAGGCTGGGGAAGGGAGGCTGGGGGAAGGGAGGGTGGGGAAAGGAGGGTGGGGAAGGGAGGGTGGGGAAGGGAGGGTGGGGAAGGGAGGGTGGGGAAGGGAGGCTGGGGAAGGGAGGGTGGGGAAGGGAGGGTGGGGAAGGGAGGTTGGGGGAAGGGAGGGTGGGTAAGGCGGAAAGGTAGATTCCAAGCCCAACCGGGGCGCCCTTGCACATGTCATGCGGGCGACTGCGCCGTGCGTGCGCCTCACCTGCCTGCCTCGCATGGCGTCGCGGTAGATCATATCGTGATACTCGCACCGCTCCCCCACGCACGCCACCGCGCCCGCCACGTCCCGCGCGTTCACTGCGCCGTACATGCGCGCCGCCACCTGCCACGCCTCCTCCCGCTGCTGCTCCCGCCCCTCGCCCGCACCCGCCTCCCCCTCCCCCCTCTTCTCCGCGTCCCCAACCGTCGCTCTCACTGCCGCGCGGCTCCGCGCCCGCCGCTGCCCCGCCCGTGCCCGCATCGTCGTCTCCCCGCGCGCCCCGCCTGCTGCCCGCGGCGGCACCGTGAGAGGCACAGCCGCGGCACTGCTGCTGGTGGCGGCGATAGCGGCGGAGGCAGAGCAGTTGCTGCGGGTGGGGCGGGCGACGCGGGGGACAAGGCCTGGCTGCAGGGGCAGCGAGATAGCGGCAGCGGCCGCCATGGTCGGGCTGCCCGCTACGCTGCTGCCGCGGGGAAATGCGCGCAACGCCTTCCGCCCTGAGGGTCACGGCGCGCTCCGCTGACGTTTCGGCACGCGCGCTACAGTGCGGGGTTCTGGTCCGCCCGTATCTCACGGCTGTCGTCGACGGGTGTGAGATGCGTCACATCGTCGGATGACACGACGCAGGAATCCGCCCTCGGTGGTTCGAGCGTTTGCCCTTTACTCAGTCGCTTGGAGTAAAGTGTGACAAAAAGTGAACATTAATCACACTTTATGCTGACTCGTTTGATTTATCTGAAACCGAATTTCCGTAGCCGAAATTGCAATTCTGGTACTAGGTCGCTTTTTTAGCGGATGAGGGCATGTTGAGACATCGCATTCACGGTCTGAATCTCGCCATCAGCGGCGACAATGGCGACGACGGCTGCTGCTTCCACGGCAGCACGCCGCCCCTCATGCTCGCACGGGCGCCCCTGCCGCTCCCAGGCTAGCGTGTTCCCTTTCGTTCGGGCACGGATCGACTTCCGGTCGGCGACGCCACGATGGACGGCGGCGGCAGCGACGACTGCGTGTACTTCGGGCGCGCGCTGGAGCGCGCGGAGGACGTGGGCGGGCGCAAGCTGCGCGCGGCGGTGGTGGAGGGGCGCGCGAAGCAGATGGTGCCGGTGTGGCAGCAGGAGGCGCGCGACGACGCGGGCAGGCGGCGCTTCCACGGCGCCTTCACGGGGGGGTTCTCGGCCGGGTACTTCAACACCGTCGGGTCCAAGGAAGGTGAGAAGGGGCACGTGTCCGCGGTGCATGCATGCTGTCTGGCCGCGGTGCATGCATGCTGTCTGGCCGCGGTGCATGCATGCTGTCTGGCCGCGGTGCATGCATGCTGTCTGGCCGCGGTGCATGCATGCTGTCTGGCCGCGGTGCATGCATGCTGTCTGGCCGCGGTGCATGCATGCTGTCTGGCTGCGGTGCATGCATGCTGTCTGGCCGCGATTTCTCCCACGCCGCAGCACGCAGCTACCTGCCGTTCCTCCACCCGCCCGCTCGTCCTCCGTCCCCCCTGCTCGCCCGGCTCAACGGCGGGCTACACGAGGCGCCTAAAAAATAGTCTCTTCCCTTGCCCCCTCTCCCCTTCCCCCCCCACCTCTTCCCCCCCCCCTTCTGTTTTTGAGGCGCCTCAAAAATAGTCTCTTCCCTTGCCCCCTCTCCCCTTCCCCCCCCCCCCCTCTCTCCCCCCCTTCTCCCACCACGCCCCCCCCCCCTCACCCCAGGCTGGGAGCCAGCAACCTTCCGGTCGTCGCGCTCCAACCGTGCGGAGCGGCGCGAGCAGCGGGTGGCGGAGCTGATGGACGCGGACGAGCGGGACGACGCGGAGCGCGCGGCAGTTGCGGCGCACAGCGCCTTCGACACCTTCGGCTTCACCGCTGCTGAGCTGGCGCGCAAACACGCACTAGCGGACGGCGGCCGCCGCCCGGCTGTGATCCCTGGGGGCGTGTTGGAGGAGCTGATGGGCCCCGTGGTGCACTCCGTTGGTGAGAGCGAGGGGGGGAGGGAGGGGAGGGAGAGGGGGGGTGGAGAGGGGGGGTGGGGGAAATGGGGTGGGAGGGGGGCTGCAGCAGTCCGCCATGGGTTCACTCTCGCGGTGGCTTGGCAGGGCTGCTGCCAGCAGTGCAGGGAGGGGTGTGGAGGGCATGGGGTATGGGGAAAGGTGAGTGGTGGGCTCTTGTGACGTGGCACCGCTATCAGTGGTCCCTGTTTTGCCGCTCCGCCCCCTGCTCCACCCTCTTTTCCTCCCTCGCCCCCCATCCATGCGTGATGTGATCTTTACTTCTCTAACCTCCCTGCATGTCCCAACCGCTCTCCATCCCACATCCACACCAACCCCCCCCCTCTTCCCCCTCTTCCCCCCTCCCCCAATTCTCTTCCCTCTTCCTCCCTCTCCCAAACCCCCCCCCCCCCCAGGCAAGGCGCTGCTGCGGCGGATGGGTTGGAGAGAGGGCAGGGGCGTGGGGCCTGACCAGGTGGCAGCTTCCAGGAAGGTGCAGCGCAAGGGCAGACGGGCGATGCTGGCGCTGGCAGGGGGTGGGCGAGGGCGGGGGGAGGAGGGGGAGGGGGGGGGATGACGGGGATGAGGGTGCGGAGGGGGAGGACGAGGAGGCGAGGGAGGAGAGAGGAGAGATGGCTGGGAAGGGAAGGGGGGGAGTGGGAGGGCCGGCAGCAGCGAGTGCAGCAGTGGGGATGGGGAGGGGGGCAAGGGGTGGGAAGGGGGAGTGGGCGTTACGGTCAGCAGCAGCGGCAGAAGCAGCGGTGTTGGAACACCTGAGGGCTCCCAAGAGGGACACACAGGGCGTGGGGTTTGACGCCTTCAAGGGCGCTCACGACGTGCGAGGTGCGGCAGGCAGGGGGGTCATGAGGGTGAGGAAGAGGATTGTGCTTGCAAGCGAACAAGAGAGGGTGTTAGGAGGGGTGGCGTGTGAAGGGAGGGTGGGGGGGTGTGGGGGAAAGGAGGAAGAGGTGGGACGGGTGGGGTGGGAGGGAGAGGAGAGGGAGCATGGGCTGACGTTCAAGTACTGACCGCGCCCTCTCTCACTCTTCATCCCTCCTTTCCCCTCTCTCCACATCTCCCTCCACCGTTCTGTCTTCCCTCCCCTTTTCCCTTGCTGGAAACAACATCAGAGCACAGGCAAAGGGCAGCAGGAGGTGCGAAAGGGGGAGGGGAACGTTCTGGGGGAGGGGCGGCAGGTGTGGGGAGGAGAGGGGGAGGAGGGCGGTGGTCGCTGTTTGGGGCGGGCAGTGGGCGGCTGGCGGGGGGTTTGGGATTGGGGCTCTGGAGGAGGGTGGGGCGGAGGACGAGGACATCTACGACGCGGGTGAGAAGGGGTTCTATTGATGGCTTTTGCTTCGTGTTGCTGCCGAGTGGAAGAGACAACGCCATCCCTTGGACTTGGCTAGTCAATGCTTGGCACCGCGCGGATTTCGCTGGTCAAGTACCAGGTGGCTGGACTGCTGCAGTTGAAACCTTGGATGCTGGTAGCTTCGAGCCTGCCTTGCTTTGTTCATGTGCAGTGCATGCTGTTCATGTGCAGTGCATGCTGTTCATGTGCAGTGCATGCTGTTCATGTGCAGTGCATGCCGTTCTTCTCTCGCCAGCACCAACGATGCTCTCCCCTGGTCGCCTCAGAGATCCCCGCGGGCGACCTGCACGAGGTGGAGGACGAGGACGAGGAGGAAGCAGGCGTGCGATTTCGAGGAGGGGGCGGGGCAGAGGCAGAGGGCAGGCAGGGGCAGCGCGGGGAGCAGCAGGGCGCGCCGTGGATGGGCGGCCTGGACCAGGCGCGAGGGAGCAGCGGGCACGTGATGCGGGGCTTCTGCGAGGGGCGCCTGTCGGTGGAGGAGTGCAAATGGTACTGCCTTCTCCTTGCTGCATGTAGCCGCCTTCTTGCTCCCGCTGTTTCTGCGGCATGCCCTGCCCACGCCACATGTTCCTGTGCGCACTGCTCACCAAACCTCGCCTTTCACCTGCTAAGATTTGCTCTCGATTTGGTCCCCAACCCAGGTGTGGTTGTAGCCGCCATGCCGTGACCACCCGTTCTTGTGGGCCCAGTAGTGGTGGCCATTTTTAAATTGATTGTTGGGGTTGGGAAACCCAATGGTTGGGTTGGACCAACTCTGCCCCAACTAGGTTGGCCCCTCATCTCATTCCTGTGGACGCTCGTGGGCTCACCTAAGCTAAACAGCAGTTCATGTTAGACTCGTCTCCATTTTGCTTCTTCACCCTGCCTGCAGGTACCCTCCCCCCCACGTGCCCGCCTCCTTCACACCACACCACACCTTCCCCTCCTCCCCCTCGCCCCTCTCCACCGCACCTGCTTCCACCACGCCAGCACCGCCCCCAGCAGCCCCCCCAGTGGACCCTTCTCTGCGTGCAGCCGTAGAGGGCGTGGCAGCCATGGTGGCGCGCAGCGGGGCGCACGTGGAGGGGATCATGCGGGCGCAGGCCGGGGAGGGGAATGGCGAGGGGGAGAAGGGAGGAGAGGGCTGTGCGGCCCAGCAGCTGTCGTTCCTGGTGGGCGGGGCGGGCAGTGTACTATGCGAGGCGCGTGTGGGAGCTAAGGGAGAGGCAGAGGGCGAACGAGGGCGGGGCAGCAGCGGGCGTGGCAGCGGGGAAGGCGGGTGGGAGTGGGGATGGTGGTGTGCGGCTGGGCCCTGATGCGCGCGGCATGATGCTGGGCGAGCAGCCGCTGCCTGCCTCGCAGCCCCCCCTCGCATGGGCACCACCAACTCTGCCTGCGTCTGCCCCTGTCTCCGCCCCTGCACCTTCCTTTTCGCCTCCCACCGCCCCTGCCGTGTCGGCCTTCCAGCAGCACGGGGCAGCGGCTGAGCTGGCGGCAATGATGGCGTCGCGCTTCCAGAGCGGCGGGCACGAGGATGTGAAGGCCAAGGATGGCATGGGCACTGAGAGGGCGGCGGTGGGTGCTGCTGCTGCGGCAGGGGCAGGAGCAGCGCTGGCAGGGGCAGGCGCAGCAGGGAATGCGGCAGCAGCAGGGGAGGCAACGGTGGTGGCACGGCGGCGGGAGGAGGCATGGCGGCCGCTGCCTCTGCTGTGCAAACGATTCAACCTGCCGGACCCGTTTGCAGGGAAGGTGGGTGATTCAACGAGGGTGGCTTCTGAGCCGACTCACAAGTCACATCTTAGTGAGGCGGGCGACACAGTAGCAAGGCAGAGGCAGACGGTGACCCTTTGTCGTCTCCGTGCTTGACCACTCCTGCTGCACTCTTTCCCTCCCTTGTTCTCTTCCCATTTTTTGTACCCACCCCCTTTCTTCATCTCTTTCATTCTTCAATGCTATGCCTGCTGGCCGCTTTTCCAACCACCGAAATTTCTCAGCCTGCTCTGCCAACAGTGCTTCGCTCCCCACTTCTTCTCTCCCCACTGCTTCTCTCCCCACTGCTTCTGTTTGTGCGGCCTGACCTCGTCAGAGTAGACCGATTCGAACGTTATTTAGACCTATTCTGGTGCCACCTTTCACACTCCGTTCCTTCCCCATTCCGCTCTTCTTTCCACCGCAGGCCCCTCCTCACCCCCTCCATCGCCCGTGTCAGCTCGACACGCTCACCTCCTTCCCTCAGACCCGCCCCTCAGCTGCTCCCACCCCCACTCCTCCCTCCTCCTCGCCGCTCCTCTCCCTCCCTGCCCCCCCCTCTGCTGCTGTGACCGCTGCTACTGCTGGGCGTTACGGGGGAGTTGAGTGGGAGGAGGAAAGAAACATTGGAGAAGTCGGGGGGGAGAGGAAGGAGGAGGAAGGGGAGGAGGAGGAGGAGGAGGGGCGGGGAGTGGCTGAGAACCGGCCCTTGGATCTGTTCAAGGTGCCTCGCCGCCATTCCGCCAACCCCTGGTTCTTTTTGTTGGTTTCTGTTCTCTGGTCCACCCAGGCAGCATTGAATGGCTCACATCACTCTGCTCCATGCGGCCACCTCTCCCTCTCTCCACATTCTGCAACGCTCCTCTCCACACTCCCCACCCTCCCTCGCCCCGTTCCCCAATGCGCCAGGCCATCTTTTCAGATGAGGAAGATGACGATCACGATTCCCATGCCATGTCAGCGGCACCGGCTGGCATCGATGACATGGCAGCGGCAGAAGCAGCCACGCGGGCGTTGGCCCGGCTGGAGGCGGGCGACTTCCTGGAAGGACTGGGCGAGGAGCTGGGGCTGCAGGTGGACCCGGGGGAGGTGAGACGGGGGGGAGGGGGGGAGGGCAGACGAGGGGAGCAGGAGGGCGGCAAGGGGTTGAAGAGGGAGAGTAAGGCAGGGGAGGGGAGGGTGGGGAAGGAGGCAGCGGGCGGTGTGCGGGAGGGCAGGAATGATGGTGCTGGCGTGGCAGGGGGTGCTGAGGATGTGGCGGTGGCAGGGGGGGAGGAAGGTGGGAGGGAAGGCAGCGGAGAGGTGGCAGGGCGGAGTGGGTGGAGTGGAGGACAGGCGGGGGAGGAGCAGCAGACGCAGCAAGGAGGCAGTGAAGGCCGTGTGGGTGATGCACGTGGTGACGCAGGGGATGGTGGTGGTGGAAGGGGTGCAGCTGCTGCGGTGGGGGAAGCAACAGGTGCTGTGGTGGCTGTGAAGAGCAAGAAGCGCGTGCTGACATCATCATCGTCGTCGTCGTCAGCAGCGTCTGGATCATGTTCTGAGAGCTCTCTGGCTTGGGGGAGGGGAGAGAGGAGGAGGAGGAGGAGGAAGGAGGATGGGGAGAAGTAGAGGAGGAAGAAGCGGTCACATGCGAGTGATGGGGAGAGAAAGCGACGGAGGCGGAGGAGAAGAGTGCGAGCGAAGAGAGTGAGGAGTCAGACGATACGGAGAGGAGGAGGAGGAAGAAGCGGCGTGGGAAGAAGGAATCACGGAGCAAGCGGCGCAAGACAAGCCATCTCAGCAGCAGCGAGAGCAATGGGAGCAGCAGTGAGGGTGACTACTCTGGGCGTGACAAAAGTGAGAGGCGGCACAAGAGCAAGCGACGACATGGTGAGAAGAGGGAGCACAAGAAGCGAAGGAACTGACATCAGGGGCTATGTCTGGCGTGGATTCACGCCTAAGGGGGACCAGCAGTCAGGGCGTCTCAACCTCATGCGGAAGGGCGTATGGTATTTTGGGATGGTAGTGACAATCATTAGTGCAAAGTTTTTGCTGTAGAATATATTGTGTAGTGCTCGGTACTCTTACCCTTGTTGGTCTGGAAAGCCTCTTTTTTAAGTGAAAGTCTTGCTCCCATTCATACTTTCAAGAATGATAGAGATTATATGAATTTCAGTATGAAGTGTGCACCCAATGCACATGCCAAATGTGTTATGATAATCTCCGGATAGGAGTAATGCAATAGTGAGGTCATGATTAAAGTGTGTCGAGTACAAATGAAGCACAGGGCAAAATACAAGCACAGCTAGCCTAGCAAGAGAGCCTCAAGGAAGGCCATGGTTTGGGGCGCTTCGGTGTTAAGAACTTAGGATGCTAGGTCCCTAAAGTTAGGACACTAGCTTAGCTAGGATAGGAGCAAGGCCGCCATGGAACGGCACTAGGAAAAACGGATCTAGGAGTAGGAGGAAGGTCGAGAAGAAAGAGTGTTGGATTAGGAAGAGAAGGGAGTACAAGGAGGGGTTTGTACCCCCTACAGAAAGGTTCAGTAGCAACCTACCAAGCCTATATAAAATTATAACTTACATAATTTTAACACACCCCCTAGGCTTGGTAGTGTCAAGCCCACTCACACCCCCACACCCGCACCCAACCCACCCCCTAACCCCGCACACCCTCAGGCTCGTGCTTAGCCGGGTATCTGACCCTCAGGCAAAGCGTTGACACACCCCCGTACACGAGGCAGCCGACGGCGTCTAGGCGGGTCAGCGACAAGCAGCCGCGGAGCTCTGGCTCAAGGCGGCTGGGTCGCCGACGACAGGCGGCGACTGCCGCGGCTGAGGGCTCTCGGCGATGTGGCAACGTCCGGGCAGAAGACAGCAGCTGCGACAGGAGGACGGGAAGACGCAGGGGGAAGGGAGAATGGGGGGGGGGGGGGGGTGGGGGGTCGGGGCGAGTCTTCAGCGTCGCGCCATAAATGGCGCGGCGCTTACAGGCGGGACGACGGCGTCCTGGCAGGGGGCGACGGGGCCGGGCAGAGGGCGACGGGGCCAGGCAGGGCGCGACGGGGCCGAGCGGGTGCGATGAGGCCAGGCAGGGCGCGACGAGGCCCAGGAGGGGCGCAGCCGCGGCGTCGCGCTGACGTCGTCCCGGTCGCGTGTCGAGACGGCCGCGGCAGGACGGCGCAGCCGGCTAAAAGACGACGACGCCACAGCGTGACGCCGCCGCGGCCGCCATGGCAGCGTCGATGCCGCAGCGGGGCGTCGACGCTGCGACTGCAGAACGACGGCCCGACTCCGCGGCAGCGCGTCGGGCCGGTCGCGGCACGACGCGCCCAGTGGCAGCGCGACGTCGCCACTGCAGCAAAACGCGGCCGCCATGGCCGCTGGAGTGACTGAGGGTGAGTAAATGGCGGAAGCGAGAGGAGGCAGTCCAGCAGGAAGGATCTCCTGCTCTGATACCATGTTAAGAACTTAGGATGCTAGGTCCCTAAAGTTAGGACACTAGCTTAGCTAGGATAGGAGCAAGGCCGCCATGGAACGGCACTAGGAAAAACGGATCTAGGAGTAGGAGGAAGGTCGAGAAGAAAGAGTGTTGGATTAGGAAGAGAAGGGAGTACAAGGAGGGGTTTGTACCCCCTACAGAAAGGTTCAGTAGCAACCTACCAAGCCTATATAAAATTATAACTTATATAATTTTAACATTCGGGACTTGGAAGTGTTGGATGCGACACTGCGTATAGGCTTGGGATCTCGAACGTAGTTCGACCTGAATTGTCGGGCCGAGCCTGGAATTCCGAAAGTCAGGATTCTACTTGTTAAGACTAGAATAAATAGGACGCCATATGCACCACTCAGCATCGCCATATGCACCACTCAGCATCGCCATATGCACCACTCAGCATCACCATATGCACCACTCAGCATCGCCACATGTACCAATCAGCATTGCCACGTGCACCACTCAGCATCGTCACATGTACCACTCAACATCGCCACATGCACCACTCAACATCGCTACATGCACCACTCAGCATCGCCACATGCACCACTCAACATCGCCACATGCACCACTCAACATCGCCACATGCACCACTCGGCATCGCCACATGCACCTCTTAGCATCACCACCTGCACCTCTTAGCATCACCACATGCACCACTCAACATCGCCACATGGACCTCTCAGCATCGTCACATGCACAACTCAAGGTCACCACATGCACCACTCATCATTGCCACATGCATCATTCGGCATCGCCACATGCACCACTCAGCATAACCATATGCACCATTCAGCATCGCCACATGCACCAATCAGCATCGCTTCATGCACCACTCAACATCGCCACATGCACAACTCAGCATCGCCACATGCATCACTCAGCACCGCCACATGCACCACTCAGGATCGCCACATGCACTACTCAACTTCGCCACATGCACCACTGAGCATCGCCACTGGCAACACTCAGCATCGCCTCACGCACCACTCAACATCGCCACATGCACCATTCAGCACCACCAGATGCACCACTCAACATTGCCACATGCACCACTCAGCACCGTCATCTGCACCACTCAGCAGCGCCACATGCACCAATCAGTATCACCACCTGCACCACTCAGCATCGTCACATGCACCAATCAGTATCGCCACATGAACCACTCAGCATCGCCGAATGCACCACTCAGCATCACCACATGCACCACTCAGCAACGCCACGTGCACAACTAAAGATCATCACATGCATCACTCAACATCACCACAAGAACCACTCTGCATTGCCACCTGCAGCACTCAACGTCGCCACATGAACCACTCAGCACCGCCACATGCACCACTCATCATCGCCACATCCACCACTCAGCATAGAAACATGCAGCACTCAGCATCACCACATACACCTCCCTTCATCACCAAATGCACCACTCAGCATCACCACATGCACCACTCAGCATCGCCACATGCACCACTCAACATTGCCAAATGCACCACTCAGCATCGCCACATGCACCACTCAAGATCGCAACATACACCACTCAGCATCGCCACATGTACCACTTAGTATCGCCACATGCACCACTCAGCATCGCCACATGCACCTCTCAACATCGCCAGATGCACCACTCCGCAACACTACATGCACCACTCAGCATCGCCACCAGCACCACTCAGAATCAACACATGCACCCCTCAGCATCGCCACATGCACAACTCAGCATCGCCAAAAGCACCACTCAGCATCGGCACATGCACTACTCTGCATCCCCAAACGCAAACCTCAACATCGCCACATGCACCGTTCAACATCGCCAGAAGCACCACTCAGCATTGCCACATGCACCACTCCACATCGTCACACTCACCACTCAGAATCGCCAAATGCACCAGCCAGCATTGCCACATGCACAACTCACAACGCCACATGCACCACTCATGATCGCCACATGCACTACGCAGAACCGCCACATGCACCACTCATCATCGCCACATGCACCACAAAGCATCGCCATATGCACAACTCAACATCGCCACATAGATCACACAACATCGCAAACAGCACCACTCAGCATCGCCACATGCACCACTCATCATCGCTACATGCACCACAAAACATCGCCACATGCACAACTCAACATCGCCACATAGATCATACAACATCGCCAAAATCACCACTCAGCATTGCCACATGCACCACTCAGCATCGCAACATGCAGCACTTAGCATCACCACATGCACCATTCAGAAACGCCACATGCACCAATCAGCATCGCTTGATGCACCACTCAGCATCGCCACATGTACCACTCAACATCGCCACATGCACCACTCAGCTTCGCCACATGCACCACTCAACATCGCCACATGCACCACCCGGCATCGCATCATGCACCACCCGGCATCGCATCATGCACCACTCATTATCGCCAAATGCACCACTCAGGATCGCCACAAGTACCACTCAACATCACCACATGCACCACTGAGCAACACCACAGGCAACACTCAGCCTCGCCACATGCACCACTAAACATCACCACATGCACCAATTAGCATCACAACATGCACCACTCAGCATCGCCACATGCACCACTCAACGTCGCCATATGCACCACTCAGCATCGCCACATGCACCACTCACCATCGCAACATGCACCACTCAGCATCACCAGATGCACCACTCAGCATCGCTACATGCCCCACTCAGCATTGCCACATGCACCACTCAGCATCGCCTCATGCACCAATAAGCATCGCCACGTGCACCACTCAGCATCGCCACATGCACCACTTTATATGGCCACATGCACAACTCAGCATTGCCACATGCACCACTCAGCATCGCCACATGCACCATTCACCATCGCAACATGCACCACTCAGCATCACCTGATGCATCACTCAGCATCGCTACATGCCCCACTCAGCATTGCCACATGCATCACTCAGCATCGCCTCATGCACCAATAAGCATCGCCACGTGCACCACTCAGCATCGCCACATGCACCACTATATATGGCCACATGCACAACTCAGCATCGGCACATGCACCACTCAGCATCGCCACATGCACAAATCATCATCGCCAGATGCAACACTCAACATCGCCCGAAGCACCACTCAGCATTGCCACATGCACCACTCAGTATCGCCAAACGCACCAATCAGCATTGCCACAAGCACCACTCAGCATCGGCTCATGCACCACTCAACATCGCCACATGCACCACTAAGCAACGCCACAGGCAACACTCAGCATCGTCTCATGCACCACTCAACATCGCCACATGCACCACTTTGCATCACACCATGCACCACTCAGCAGCCCCACATGCATCACTCCGCATCCCCACATGCACCACATAAGGTCACCACATGCACCACTCAGCATCGCCACATGCACGACTCACCATCGCAACATGCACCACTCAGCATCGCCAGATGCACCACTCAGCATTACCACATGCACCACTCAGTATCGCCTCATGCACCAATCAGCATGGCCACGTGCACCACTCAGCATCACCACATGTACCCCTCAACATCGCCACATGCACCACTCAGCATCGCCACATGC